TACATGTACAAAGTTGGGTTACAAAATTGATTGACAAAATAACATCTACACCAATCATTTTGAAAACAGTTTTTTAAATCATTTGAAATCACGGTCTAAATTTGCTAACTCACTTTGTAACCAAACTTTTGTAACTCAACTTTGTACGAATAACTTTATTGTTTTCAAGTTGGGGCAGCTTTTTTTTTTTTTTTACAGAATTAGTGGACTTTCGTCATGATTCCAAGAACATCAGTATATATACGTACTATTGCTTCCTGTTGCTGCATGTCTTTCTTTCTAAAAAACAGGGAGGTGTTTCCAAATATAAACTCCCATCCCAGTTTTCATTCAATAGATAATTACACTTTTTATTGGTCCAAATCCGAGCCTCTAATTGTCCTAACTGCAAGATTTTCTAGTTTGGTGGACTGTTTTGCCAATAAAGGTCTGACTTACCATTTTCAGCAATCAGAAAGTAAAGGAGCTTTGAGGTAAGAACATTGGATTTTGCATTCTGGCAAGATATAATGGCTTTGGATCATGTTATAAATTGTTCTAGTTTGTCATAAGATTTGATGAAGTTTGAAATTTTATGCTGGTTGTCTACTTACCACAAAACCTTCTTCCTTTACTCTAGCTTGAGAACTGGTTATGAGAAACTTGGCTGAACTGTTCTAATTTTTGAGATGGAAATTTCATGAATATTTCGAAGATGGGAAGACAGTTTAATTTATCTAGTAGGTTTTAAGTAGAAAAATGATAACATATACTCAACCAGATTTGCAATTTTATGAGCACAGACACTAGCATATGAATTTATATGTGACTGAAGTATTATTTACCTTTCATTTGTTCTGTATTGTTGAGTGAATAATTGAATTCTGACAAAATTGGCACGTCCCCATGTTTTTGCTTTCGATTCCTGACTACTGGGAATCATATATTTGTCGGAAATGAACATGGTACACCCCTTATCTTGTTTATGTTTTCCCTGTCTTTGTTTTCTTTGTAGGTATTATTTCTTTGGTAAAAAAACCATGTTAGAAACAAACAAGACACCAGAGACGCTCTTATTCCACTTGTTAAAAACTCGACCAAATAATTAAAGACGGGAATAATAAGAGTAATATGAAAATAATAGATCACGTAACATTCAAGATTTATGTGGAAGAAGAGGAGAATTTATTATACCAATAAACTAAAACAATCTTTACAAGATTTGATTCTCTTAATCTAAATTTAAACAACTCACTCAAGTTTCTAATTTATACAACAATAATTTAATTGTTATTTTGAGTCTTTCTTAAGTTTCTAAAGAGCCTACACCTTGTGGAGTACATATACGAGCCAAAATTTGGAGTTATTGTTGAAGTAAAACACAAAACCGCTTTAAAAACCAAACAAGAATGAAATTCCTACTGCACAGGCGAAGCCGGGGCACCTGCCCTTCTACTGCCCTTTTGCGTTGCCAGTTCTGAGACCCGATTCTATCTCAAAACATTCCAAACATGTTTTTATCAATTCCAAAGTTCCTTTCCCAATCAAACTCTGAATCCATGGTAAAATTTGATCTCTTATCAAACTGGACTTCCAAATCAATATTATCTAGACTTCCTCTATGAATTAAACTTTCAATTCATATGGAATTTGAGTCACAAAATGTAACAAACTCCACATTGAAACAAATTCCATAGCAAAGAATTAATTCATCACTCATCAAGTCATTATCCAACCATTCTACCATGCCCCTTCCGGACACCCTATGCCCTGCAGGGTATACTTAGCATATGCCAACTAAATCCAAGCCCTGCCAGAACTACTTTGCGCGCCATCCTTTCTTGAATCATTCCATTAACTTGTAGCTCTAGCCAAGTCAATAATCCTGCTTGAATTACCACGAGCAATTCCAAATCCACCTGAGTTGCCAAACCTGCTTGAATCACCACGAGCAACATGATTAACAAAATCACAACAAGCTCCTCCTGAGCTACTAGAAGATTCTCCAGTATTATTGTTCAAACCACTAAGAACAACTCGATCACAACAACCCGAGTTATTTCTTATTGAAATAGAAGCTACAACTGCATCCACAGTGACCGTCGAACCTTGTAGCATTTATAACCGAGACTTTCTCCACCTCCTTAACACCAGCCAGACACCCTTGCTAATTTTCAGAACTCTACCTCCATGGGTATAAATGTACCCTTTTGAATCAAAAGTATTCAAAGAGATTACGTTCATGTTTATACCTGGAACATGTCAAACCTACCAAGTGTTCTAACCGTTCCATCAAATATCTTGATTTTGATATTACCAATCCCAGCTCTTTTACAAGGCTCATTATTTTCAATAATCACGGATCCCCTTAAAACTGTTTCATATGAAGAAAACCAATCCTGGTTTGAACACATTAAAAGTGCAAGTCGAATCAAGAATCAAATCCTTGTCAGGTTTGGAAATACCTTTAGTAATTACCAAAAGATCTCAATCACTTTCTTTTTCTGCAAAATTGACATTACCGAATTTTTCTGATTGTTCCTTCTGACTTGTATTAGGAAACTTGTTCCGTCACTCATAGCAATCCCTTTCATGTACCCCTTGTTGTTGGAATACCAATAGATTTTACCACTGTTGCTATTATTAACTCTGCCATTTCCATAACCACTTGTCTACCTCTCAGAAACAACAAGACCCTATGCTTTGGCCTTAGAAAAGACGATTAAGTGCTTCATCTTCTCCGTAAAATAAAGCGTCATATACCTCGTCAATAGTAAGAGCATCCTGACTATAGAGAATAATATCTCTAAAAGTCATATATGAAGTGGCAACGACCATAACAATATCAACTATAAATCTTCTTCATCATATTTGACCTCCATGGTTTCTAAATCAGGGACGATTTTTTTGAACACCGATAGATGATTTTCCAAAGTTCCACCTTCCGCAAAGCGATGAGAATACAAGCGTTACTTCAAGTGTAACTTACTTGTCAAACTCTTTGTCATACAAAACTGATCTAATTTTAACAACAACCTAACTGTACTTTTTTCCTTTATCAAGTCCTGAAGAATTTGATTGGGAAGATGAAGATGTATCTGTAATAGGGTTTTTCAATCGTTTCATTGCTTTTTCTCCACAGTCATTGTTGCGAGCATTTATCTATCCCCAACAAAGTATCATTAAGATCCAATTGAGAAATTTCGCTCGCATTTAGATTTGCAACAAAGAAAATCTACTATATATTGTGATCTAAAAGCGAAATCTCAAATTTCATAGTTGACATCCCCGAAATAAACAACATTGTTCAAACATCGCTTTAATAACCAATTTGGACCTCCCAAGAACCTTTAAAAAACCTTCAGCTCTGATAACACTTGTTGAGAACCCAGCCAAATAATTAAAGGTGATAATAATATGAGTAATATGAAAATAATAGATCATACAACAATCAAGATTTATATGGAAGAAGAGGAGAATTTATTATACCAAAAAAAAACTTAGGGTCCGTCTGATTGCAAAGGTGGAAAATTGGTAGAAAGAAAATGAATTCCAGGGAAACTAACTGTCTCGAAATTATTTTCCAGAGAATTGTTGATTAAGTGTGGTTGATTGGTATAATTTTCCACCCGAAAAATTTTAAAATTTTGTGTTCCTTTTATTTTGTTTACATGAAAATTGTACATTAAATAATTTTTCCCACAATTGGTTATAAAATTTGTTTCCATTGCCAAAAAGTAAAAAAAAAAAAGAAAAAAAATTGTTTCCTAAAAAATCATTTTTTTTCATCAAAGTTTAGTATTCGTTAGACTTTGTTTTACATGGAAATTGTCC